CTGGACTGACACGAAATAATTGTGTGCTTCTTGTCATTAAATAATTTGTTCAACTTCTTGTACATACTGGTTCTCATTTTGAACTCAACAGGACTGCGATGATTAAGGGAATAGCTTCCATGAGACAGGGAGGACAGACGAAGAGCATAACTGAATTCAAAACAATTCGTGTGACATTTCTTCTCCTTTCTCGATATTGGAAATCCTATGACGGAGATTAGAGATATTCGGCTACAAGTTGTGTGTGCACGTATGATCACACGTACATCGAGAGAAACCATTACTGCTTGGCAGTACGAATCACATTGTAAAATGAAGCTAACAGCAAATAAAATCCAGTGATCTAATTGACGAAGACACTAGATGTTCAACTTAGTCTCTGACTAAAAACAGCGTTGAAGCGGGTGGGTCACATGACTGATTTCTGAGCATCTTCCAAACCTACCTACAACACCTGATGGGGAAATATACTGATGTTTGTTGAAGCTGAAACTGTGAAGCTGTCTAGACCTATCCTATGCTATTTGTTTATCTTATTTGTCGTTTCGATTCCTAATGGCTTCAGTAGCACGTCACCATTTCACTCTGTTCTCTACAATCTTTTGAACCTGGCTCCACGACTGCCAACAGGCTTTCATTTCTTCCTCACACCATCTCCCCCGTGTCACACTCAGACACCCAACTCGTCGTCGCTTCCTATGCGGGTTCCCCTCGATGACCTGGCCTGATACGTGATGTCCTCAGTCTATGCCCAATCCAATCCAATCCATTCACACTTACTTCTTCTTCTGCACATTTGTTGGATGATGGGTTCTTGGTTGGTTCGTTGCAAGCCAGTCAGAGTTGCCCGTTGCTTATTCTTTCTGGCCATCCATCTGATCTTCAGTATCGAGTGAGTGTAGGTGGCAACTGTTGATGTGATGTATGTGTGTAGTTTGTTCGAAATGCTTCACATAACGCGCCAAGTCTCTCAACCATCACATAGAAGCACTGACTTACTTGACTTGACTGACAGTGGTGTTGAAAATCCGGATGTTGTTCACGCTTTATGCTGAGTGGAGTGGAGTGCAGTGCAGTAGATCTCCACTCTGGTTTCAGATTATTGAAGGAAGACCTGTCTCGTTGTCTTTCGGATCCTGCCTGGCTTTCACATCCTCATCTGTGGCTGTGCCGCCGCCTGTAGTTGAAATGATGCTGCCCAGACAGGTAGCTGGGTAGGTAGGTGAAAGAGACAACTTCCTTCAGATTTCTCCCACTGATGGTGCTTGTTGTTTTTGGTTGGGTATCTTCATCACCTCCGTCTTCCCTACGTTCACCTGAAGGAAGTCCCGTCTTCGCTGCCCTGCTCCTTCTGTCAACTTGTTAGTTTCACCTGTAGTTCTTCGGGCTTGTGCGACAAGACATTAAACATAAATCATCATCATCGCTGGAGAAATCCAAATCTTCCAGCGTCTTCTCATCGATCAAACAGCGTATGCCCATCTCCTCACATTTGTCTGTTGCATGATCCAGTCGACTACAATCAGGAAGATGATCGGTGATAGTAGGCGGCAACCTTGTATTACTCCTGTCCCCTATCTTTACTTCAAGGGCATCACTGAGCTTTCCGTTGTGAATCACTCAGCATGTAGCATCCTCATACAGCTGCTGTTGAATGAGGTTGATAAAGGTTTGTGGCCCTAAAACTGTAGTGATGAAACAGCTGCCTGCCAAATTACTTCTCGATCGACGCTGTCGAAGGACTCCTCAAAGTCGGTGAAATTCAGGTAACGAGTTGACTGCTATTCTATGCTCTGTTCTATGATGATGTGCACAGTAGTTTGGCATTTTGATTCATACATGACTTGTTCTTCCTGAAGCCAACCAGCTAGCCTGTTCCAACCGTAATTTTGAACCGAGAGCATTTTTTAGTCTCTCCAGGATGATGAGGCTTAATATTTTGCTTGGGGTGGGCAGGAGCATGACTCCACGCCAGTTCTTGCAAAGTCATAGGTTAGCCTTCTTTGGGAGTTTGACAAGGTAACCCTTCTTCCTTTAATCGGCAGGTACATTTTCTTCCTTCCAAACCTTCTGCAGTAGTGATGTGAGCATGACCACCGATGTGTATGTGTCTGTTTTCAGTGCTTCTGGAGGAATTCCATCTGGTCCTGTCGCTTTCTCGGATTTCAGTAACTTTATGACGTTCAGGACTTCGGCTTTTGTTGGAGGTTTTCTGTTCACTGATAGTTCTGTGGCTGAGCTGCTGGTGGTATTTCCGAACGAGTTGCATGTGGTGGTGGTCGATTCAAGAGTGTTTTGAAGTGGTTAGCGTATCGTTTCCTTTGTTTCTTCTCTTTGGTGACTGGGTTTCCTTCACTATCTTTCATTGGTTTCATCTGTGTTGATCTCTTCCCAAATAGTCGCTTGGTTGAAATAATGTTGTCAGGTCTCTCTTACCTGCAGCCTGTTCTGCTTCAGAGACCTCTTCTATCTATTTTAAAGTAATCTCATGTGGCATTGAAGTGCGCTTAATAACGCACCTTTAATATTAAGGGTCACTGATGTACTGCCTTTCTGTTTCCATCTGACCTAACAGTCATCAGATTGTCCAAAATGTGTTGCGCTAGTGCATCACGCATTTCAGATAATCAACTAATTGGTTACAACACTTTCAACTAACGGGTCATACTTTCTACGAGCCCATTGAAGTTATAGATGTTTGGTAAGACCAGTAGTGTCACTATTTCTGTGATGAAACGCAAGGCAAAATGCACAAATCCTTATGTGCTTGCTGGCGAGCTACTTAGGTATATTGAACATGTTACCTAGATGTGTTTAATAAGAGCTTTCTGAACAAAGAGGAAAAAATGAGCGTCAAAAAGACAACAAACCAACTTTTTCGATATGAAGTGACGATTTGATGTTTGGGTAACACTTGTATAATCTGAGAATCTAAATAGCTTGTCAAAAAATCAATGGACTGACGAAATTAGTTCTCCAACCGAGTTATTTCCCGTGTGTAGCTGATAAGGCTAACAAACGACAAAGGAACCATGTCTACATTCAAACCACAACAGCGCCACGGTTGAAACACAAATATTTGTTATTTAAATCAGTTGTGCAGCACGTTTTTGAGGTCTCCGGCTGTTTAGTCCCCAGTTTGAACCCGTAACTCACTGGTTGGATGTTCAATGCCTAAATCCATGAGTCACAACACCACTTTTAAAAACGGTCAGCTCCCCGATTAGTAAAAATCACCAGATGATAAATATATTGAGCAAGAGATTACAAACTTGAATTCGATGCTAACTTCTACCGATACCTTTCGTCAACAACAGATTCTAGTACACCTAAGAACGGTTATCGTAACTCAGAAGATTCGATGCCTCACCGTTATCTAGTATCAAATGAGATACCTCTATTCATATGACTAGGCTGCGATCAGTACCGTGAAAAGACTGGAGGCATAATAACTAATCTTACATAGTGATGCAACACACATTTAGGGTCCACTACTTCGAAAATGTGGTTTCCAGCAAACAGAAACTTTTAATAAAAAAAGTAATGTTTAGTATGAAGACAGTAAACACAGGTGTAATGAGTCCACGTTACGGTAGTTGTGATATACATTGACAGCATTGTGTTCAATTCCAGGAGTTACAAATAAACTTAAAGGAGAAATCGATGCCAAATACATGCTGTTCGTTGTTTCAAAATTGTACGTAAGGAGCTCCAGCAAATAATGAGAAAGACGAGATCCACAGTAGCACTTTAACGATGAATCTTACGAAGTGTCAAGTAGATTTAGGTTAATAATGTGTGATGAAATAATCTGACCTCTTTACGATTTCATGAGGCAATCGGAAGTCTGAGCCATTCGTCGTAGAAATATTTCATCCTTGTAAGCCCTGTCAACCAACCAGATCACAGTATTCTATCCATCTATGTCTTCAACAAACATTATTGAATCTTTACTCATTATTCGAAGCGACGTAAACATTCACCTAGCTTGCATTCCTTCTCAATGAAAATTAACTTCAAGTAATATGGCATCATAAATAGACTGTGAGCAGATAGAGAAACCGAAACCCTACTGATATTATTATTGCTTAATTCAACCATGATGTTACTCATTTCATTGAATATATGCAGAAACGTATACTCAACTATGAGCTACATCTCATGCATACTCAACTGTCCAAACCTCGGTAATTCAACATACAGCTAAATCAACATGAAAACTACCACAGAAGTGGATCGATTTATGTTGCCAGCAACATGTAGGATTCGGATACAGCTGAAAACGCCTGAGATTCACAAATCATTCGCATGGCAACTTTGTATAACCACATTGGTTTCATTTTTTTCACAGTTTTCCATGAGCTGATATCAACTGAGTAAACAACAGAAACAACTTGAAATGGGAATTTACCGATCATCTTCAATTTACCTTTCTTTTTACCGCCACTTAAACAAATAACCGATAGCATTCTCCTAACAAGAACTTCAGCTTTATATTTACCTATAGTGTTGTCATGAACTGCGATGAAACAAGGAAATGTGAGGTGAGATGAAGGAATTTCCGAGAGATGTTACTGAATGTTTCCTCAAGACCATGAAGTTCAATTTTAATGACTTGATGCATATCGAATCGAAACCTAATCAGTAACACCATGCATGTTAGTGCAGTAGGCAGTGAGTCACATGTATTGTGAGAGGCCTGACTGCCAAGACCTCAGCTAGTTGAGGTGGGTTCGAATCCGTGACACACTAGTTGGAAGTCCAGAAATACAGTAAGCACTAATTTATAAGCCTGTTAACCAAATCACTCCTAGCTGACCTAAAACCAAAGACTTAGCTACAAGACTACTTACTTATTCTCAGGGCCTAAATAAACGATGTTTTCAGACCATTGGTCAAACATCTGTAGCACGCGTTCAATGCACGTAATCAAACTTCACCTTACTCACATCTTAACCACTTCAATAACTCAGTTCATTGCAGCCTAAAAAGACGAAAAAGGATAACTAGTAACATGTTTATTCAAAACAAAGACCACTTTCCTGTGTGCACTAATAGGTGTATATATAAATATGCGATCCGGTTGATAAACAGAATGGAATATGTGTGATCGAGTATTGAAAACACTCTGTAGAAATATACAGATGAAATCAAGCTGAAAAGGGGGGAGGAGGAGTAGAAATTACCATACCCCAAATTAAATAAATCATTGTCTTCAATTCGTCAAGGTGTATAATATTATGCTTTCAACCCATTTTGAAAATGGGAATAAGTAAAAAACAACAACACAGAAGTGTGAAATAAGAGAAAAAAATATGTGAAAACTGTAAAACATGTCGACGAATCAAGTAGTAATCACAATAAGTAGCTCATAATGATTGAATACTACTACTATGATGGTAGCAGCAGTAGTAGTACTCATGTAAGTCTTGTAGTGATAACAATAGTATTAATAGTACTAATACTTGGGAAAGAAAACAATTTGGAATGATTAGAAATGAAAACATACTACGAGTTTAATTAGCCACACAGCTCTTGTCTATTACCGTATTGTTTGTATATCAGGGTGTTGAAAGTTTAACGAGGATAATACTTCTCCAATACCTTTACTGGAATTCGTTTCAACAATTCCTTCGGGAATATACGCAGCAGTTCCCAACCAATATCAAGTGAATCGAATATACTTCGATTTTCATAAGCGCCTAATACAAAGAAAAAGAACACACACAAAAAGGCAAAAACTTAGATTTCAGTCTATAAATGAGGAGATTTATTAATTTGAAAGATGGCTTTCAATAATTGAGGGGTACTGATGAAAACTGGCAACTACTGCTTGGAAAAGTTAAGACTTAGCTTCAGCTCCAAGAATCTAGATGTAGGAAATGAGCTATGCAAGGGAATATCACTCTGAGAATAAGTAGCTGGTTGTTTAACAAGTGCTAACAGTTAGTGATAAACAGTAACATCAAAAAGAGGTCAGATAATTCTTTCTTCAGAGAAAGTCATAGTGTAACTTACCTTGAGAAATAAAGTTTTTCTCAAATTTCGTTAAAAATTCCAAATAAAGTAAATCTTCTGCGCTTAATGCTTCCTCACCAACAACAGCTTTCATCGCCTGAACATCTTTACCGATTGCGTAACATGCATACTGTGAAAAAAAGACAAAATATTTTCATATAGAACATATTCGAATAAGTTAAACGAAAACTAACATATGCAGAGTGGTTATTAAACCACGTAGCTATAAAGGTTTTAATTTATTCTGTCACTATCGCTGACAGTCAGACAGTTTGAGTAATTAATGATCAAACATTTTCCCATTCTATACAACTCTGACTGGATCAAAACGTTAGGTTGAGTAGATAATATGAGTAAACATAAGCAGTTGAATATTTTCTGTTTGTATTTAGAACTGATACCATATTTACATTTGGGTTCCGAGGACCAATCGGCAAAGTACTAGGAAGGAAATTGGGAAACCAAGAAAGTTAAAATCTTGACTTAGCTCAGACTTTTCCCATCACTCAAATTTCTTCCTACTTTGGTAGCTTTTCCTTTTCTGCGGCATCAAGAAATATGACGACTTGAAACATTGTACTTGTGTGTTATTGTTAAAATTTGCTATAAGATTGTTCAGATCCTCGTATGAAGCCCTAAAGCCTTCCATAACCAATCATTCTGCAATGAAGTTTCGACAGAAAACGACTGTGATCATACATATAAACAATAGATTGATAAAAGAGGCAATAGCAATAAGAAACGACTTCTAGAAAGGCATGCAAATAGCCAAGATCATTGCGTGCATATATATAAATATATATAAAAAACTTCTTTCCGTCAAAACCAGGATCGGAAAGATAGAAAGACAGGCCTTCCTTCAATAATCTGAAATCAGTGTGGAGATCTACTGCACTGCACTCCACTCCACTCAGCATAAAGCGTGAACAACATCCGGATTTTCAACACCAGTGTCAGTCAAGTCAAGTAAGTCAGTGCTTCTATGTGATGGTTGAGAGACTTGGCGCGTTATGTGAAGCATTTCGAACAAACTACACACATACATCACATCAACAGTTGCCACCTACACTCACTCGATACTGAAGATCAGATGGATGGCCAGAAAGAATAAGCAACGGGCAACTCTGACTGGCTTGCAACGAACCAACCAAGAACCCATCATCCAACAAATATGCAGAAGAAGAAGAAGAAGAAAGTGTAGATGGATTGGATTGAATTGGGCATTCACTGAGGACATAACGTGTCAGGCCAGGTCATCGAGGGGAACCCGCATAGGAAGCGACGACGAGTTGGGTGTCCGAGTGTGACACGGAGGAGATGGTGTGAGGAAGAAATGAAAGCCTGTGGGCAGTCGTGGAGCCAGGTTCAAAAGATTGTAGAGAACAGAGTGAAATGGTGACGTGCTACTGAAGCCCTATGTTCCACTAGGAACCCAAACGCCAAATAATAGTAATCAATAAGAAGAAGAAGAAATCTACATGATCTTAACCATAAGTTGTCTAAAACTTTCATTGAAATTCGATCAAAAAGTACTACTGGGACCATGGAATCAGTAGTAGTTAATTGTTTTAACTTTGTGTAAAATATTTCGGTACGTGATTTTCAACATATTAATGAACATCTTTATTATTTCCCCCTTACAAATGATATTTCTATGTAATGGTCTTATTCAGTGAATCGAAGACAGTCTTCATTTCTAGAAAACAATATTAGCCTGTAATACTTACGACTATTTCTCACCATCTGGTAGATAAATCATTATTTAACTGCATACAGAATATAAAAAAGATCGAATGTTAGGAAAAAAGACACAAGTAAAAGAATGCATACTGGGTTCGAGTCTCAGAGGAAACATCACTCACTGGGATGCACGTACATCCAGCTGACGAGTCCCAAATAGGACGAAACGCGCGTCAAGCTGGATTCCACTGCTAGTCACCAAGTAGACTACAAAATAACAAATATCTAGGCAGTATCGAGGCATCCGTATAGAGGTCTATTTACGATAAACTGAAAGTGTCTTAAAGGTAAGAAACACCAATTTATCTCAGTTCACCCACTTATCAAGACTATGAGACAACCTGAAATGGGATTGTCTGCGATACTACTGTTTGCCGGGTAGACAGATAATAAAAGACCGTAGTAGATCTAGTGAATTTGACAGCTATAAGTCAAAACGTTATAATCAACAGCAGTTATATCTAGTGTTAGTGTTAAAAACCAGGATCTAGTGGATACTGTAACAATTAACATTCAAAGTTTTATAACTGGTTCGATCTGAGAGCACAGTGATCTTTAAACACACTTAAACTGGTGATTTAAGATTCTGTATGGAGTATACTTTTACTGCTAGATGAATAAGAACCCTCAAAATGACCATAAGTTTTAGAAAGTTGATTAGGACAAGGGTGTTTTCATTATAATCAAAATTGGTGAGATATTAACATCCAACCAATAGGTCCAACGATGATACAATTCAGCAAACAAGTATGGGTTCATATACTAATCCAATGAACTTCACATATTGTTACATCTCATGATGGAGCGTGACAACAGAAATCAAATTAGGTCACGTGAGATTCAAATATTTAACTCACAGATCATAAGTCAGTGTTATAAACGGCCACTTTGTTTCAAACGGATGAAGAGCACTCCTGCACAAGTAAGTATAACAGGAACCAAATCTTAAGCAGTCAAAATATAACTACTAAGTATCAGTGAAAGCGTAAGTGTAACTTTTTACAATGTTCATGTATGACATAAAATAGGGATGAATTAAACAGTTTTCGATTCCGAACAAACACGATTGCCCTCTGAATCCCATGAACATCTTAGTAAATCTTATACACCGGCGGATGCATTTGCAATTAAGTGTAAGAAATACACCAGGAGATTGCCGACAAAGATCAAATTAAAACAATATTACTATAATTACCAATATTAATAATTATAGCGAAAACAGATAAGTTATATGAGGTTGATAAGATCTAATATCCTACATAAAAAGCAGCAAAATATGCCAAAGATGACCAAGTATATCCATATTCTAAGACCTGCAATAATGACTTTTCTATTTCTGAAAGCTAGACTAGGCTATCAGTGAATATTAGCTGGTATGAAAGCCACTTGAATTTCAGGTGTAAAAGGCGTCCAAGTCATAGGAGCTGGAGTTAAAATATAACACTGGTAACTGAATACAGATCTTCATGAACTCAAAGAGATGTCGAATGAACCTCAATGACACAAATATGCGTAGATAAAGACGGATACGTCGTATCTATAATGTTGAAAGATTAAGCTCTATAGGCTTCATTCAACTAGTATCTTTTAAATATGCACCACTGTGATGGAACTAAGCCCTAACAGTGAAGTTGTAGCAACATTTCCCATATTATGAAACAAATGCGATCACAATTTCCCATTTGTCGAAGCAACACAAGTTAAATCAACATATAGCTGAAATAAATATACCTTAGTAACATTTTTACAAGTCAAACTGTTGACAATATCTTGTAAAAAAAAAAAACACTAAGGTATTCGTGAAAAATTACATAACAGACAGCAGTACACAAAATAAACTGAGGTTATCAACACTTATTCTTTATAACTAACTTACCAACTGATTAGAAACATCGGAATGATCTTCCCGAGTCATACCAACACCAATAGCAGACTTCATTAGACGAGAAAGCGATGGCAATACATTAATCGGTGGGTAGATCTGTGTTATAAAACAATGAAGAATATAAATTACCACATGAATAGAGCGTTCAAATCCAAAAACAATGTAAACATAAATAAATGAATGTAACTCAGTGAATATGAGCAGTTTCATGCACTAGGCAACAAGCTGTAATTATTGTGTGAAGGTTTATGATACTAACTGGCTGTCCAAACCTTTAGTAGTATTATTATTATTAGAACAAACATGGTACAGTAACGGCAGTAAAACTGCGCCACACAAAATAATATAGTAAAATTATGAAGACATAAAGCGAAGGGAACTGGATAAAAGTAAAACAAAATAAGAAAAGAATGGTTAGAATGGCACTCCGGTATGATTACGCCTCAAGCCATTGAGTTACGTGATCTTTCGAACCCCACTCAGGGAGTCGTGATGCACCAGCAGATAGTAACCAGATACAAACTATCGTTCATCTCACGACGCCACCTGATACATTGGCCACCCCTCCGCTTCTTCCATCCAGGCCCAGGGTTTGCAAACAATGTACGGTGTGGAAGCCGTTGAGACGATATGCGTAATACATATCCAAGCCACCGAAGCCGGTGTTTCCAGATGACTTTAATCATTGAATGACGGTCTATATCATCCCTAAACAGGCTGTCATACCTCACAATTGCTTACATGGCGTTAGCCCCAGATATGAGCGATCCTATGGAGGCAACGATGATTGAACACACAGAGTTGTCATATATCCTCAGCTCGGAGAGGCCAGGTTTCACAGGCATAGAGCAGAACTGCTGGCGCTGGAGCGTTGTAAACCTGACCTTCTACGGTCGGACTGACGTCGCAACGGCGAGAAAGGTGGCCTAGACTAACATATGCCACTCTAGTTTCCGATATGCGGTTGGAATTTTCATCACTCACATCTCCGCCAGCACTCACAAAACGACCCAGATACACGGACTTTTCGATTACTTCCAACGGTTCACCACCGAGGGTGAGCGCAGACCCAGGCTCCTGCCAATCTTGAAAAAGTACTTTGAATTTCAGTGGTGCAAGGCATATACCATACTTACGGACAACAAACCTTGATTGATGGAGTGGAACTGGAATCTACAACTAACCTATTTCAAGTTAACTAGCTAAAAGAATAAACCATAGCTCCCTAAAGCGACCTAAACAATGTTATACTGACACGTGAGGTATAGAGAACCAAACTAGGAATGTTTTTGATCATATTTACTACACTAAGATAAATGGCATCTCAAAATCTAGAAAAAGCATTTTCTTCACAACATTTGACGAGTAAACTGAGACAAGAAAGTTACATCAAAAAAGCTGGTTATGTGAAAAGAGACTAATGAAATCTAACGTAAACAAAAGAAAAAGGCATGACTGAAAAGTGAACGAAAAGGTCAATAAAAAGGTCAGTGTAAAATAGATATCTATGAACTGGTGTCTAAAAATTTAACTAGCAAATGCATATAAGACCATATGATCACCAATAAGCTTGCTTGAAAGATACTTTTCACGAGCTGTCATAGTTTTCACACACTCGGAACGATGAATTACGGTTTCCAACTTACGGCAGTATATGGTATATAGCATCAAAAAGAATCAAATTCATCCAAAATTACAAGCACCCACTCGTCAGATAGTTTGAACTACAAGTAACAGCAATACGGTTAACTTTTTTAATTTCCCAACTTTCAACTAATGGTTCCTAGGTTTACAACTTGTTCCATCCATTTCTATCTTGGTAACCGGATAATATGATAAACCTTCATCCAATAAGTATGACTTATAGATCAGTATATAAATGCCTATATCTGACTGAGTTGCATTAAAACTAATAACTGCCTTGAACTTCAGGAATACCCTCAAAATAACTAACTTGTCAACTTTAGAAAGTTGATTGTGCTGGATATTTTCCTATGAAACATCAGTTGAGAAACGTCATGAGTATGGAAACCACCTTTAAAAGCAGGAAAATGAGCAAATCACTGCAGAATCTTGAAGAGAAGTGCACTACTTTAAGCTAACACAGTTTCCAATAGTATATCCAGAAGAATTAAATAAACTGCAACAAAAGTGTATCAGACGGGAGAGAATAAATAAACGAATCCTTTCAATGTGTTAATCAAATCTTCAAAGGTAATCGCAAGTGCTAAGGAAACTACTCACTCATTGAATTAAACACATTCAACTTGGAAAAGCCAGCATTGAATAGCATAGCTGATTAATTTAAGTAGAACAGCATGGTTAAAATATCACCCCCGCTATGAATCATTCAACTCATTTTTAAAAGCTTAGAACATCCCACGTATAGACTTCAATACGTTTCATGACATTAAGCAAACCACTTAGTTTTCACAGCTACCCTAGTGGATATTATGCAGTCCAACAATGTCATTTGCATCATCCACCTCCTAAAAGAGGTGAGGTGCTTGACTCGTCACACTTGAAAGAGAAGTCAGTCGAAATGATGGATTTTAACACATTAATCGGCAGTTAAATATGAGCCTCAAATATCAAATGATCTTTCATTTAACATACCTTTAAACTGTTACCTTCTCGAACGTAGTCCATAAATTAGTTTTTCACGTCACCTTTTAATCTTAGGGCTAGGGTTCGAAAGAAGGGGATATACTGAACAACCATATGCAGGTCCGTGCAGCAGGCAACAAGTCATATCTATTGTGTGATGGTCAACGATACTACCTAGAAGTCTAAAACTGTAGGCAGAGCGGAATTCTAACGCGTGATCCACCGGTGCTTAGATTGAGCTACCGATAATCTAACAACACAACACGAGAATATGGTCAGCGTGAGATCAAGACTTCTTAATTGGATTTCTGCAACTACAAGAGGTTATTTTTACAACGATCACGAGTCAGCATAGAGTGAAGCACACAGCTAATAACAATGAACAAGATTCACTGAATACCATCCAACACAATATGGATTACAAACAATCTCCAAAGAGCTAAGTGAAACTTAGAATCATTTTCACGTAAATTTCTAACCAGTGGCAAGTGTTAATTGTAGCCCGCTTTATGTAGAAGCACAAACTAAGTAAGTAATCTGCAATAAAAAACATAACGAGTCACAATCAGTAAAAAATTTAGTATTCAACCAACCTGTCTGTTATGAAGCTGACGATCCACATAAATTTGACCTTCAGTGATATAACCGGTTAAATCTGGAATAGGATGTGTAATATCATCGTTAGGCATGGTTAAAATTGGGATCTGTGTGATTGATCCTGACCGGCCTTCAACACGACCAGCTCGTTCATAAATCGATGCCAAATCAGTATACATATAACCTGGGAAACCACGACGACCTGGAACTTCTTCGCGAGCTGCTGATACCTAAATGACAGAAAAGACTCCACAAATATGACAAATTTATCAGGTTTAAAAATAATTTGATAACGCAAATACAGCATACATCCGAAAAACATCGAAACCAACCACTGTAACTACTTTACCAGTTGAGTAACCTATACATCAAACGATAACGGATAGTATCAATGTGGTATCACTGCATAATTGTTCGAGTTACCACAGCTTATATTAGCACATCAGGGTACAAGGCATTAAGATGAAGGAGAAAAAAAAAGAGTAATCAAAAGTTGTAAACAGAGAAACAATAACAAACTTCGGTATGGTAGTTTAAATGGTATCCAGAGATATTGACATACACTCAACAACCCTGTGCACATTCGTGTAGTAGGCAGTGAGCCACACTTATTGTATGAAGACTAATGATACTATCTGGCTGCCCGAACCTCTGTAGTTGGTGGGTTGAAATAGTTGTGTGTAAATTCATCTGTGACAGAGACAAGTTCTGAGTCACACCACGCAGAGTTCCCAACCATTGATTTCAGTCGTCTCATGGACTCCAGACAGGAAGTTTGGATTTCCCGACACAGGCTCAGACTAACATTGGAAGACTTCATGACCTGACGCCACATTTCAGTCTGGCTGCCTTTAACCTTATTCCAGATCTAACCTACTTCAGATAACATTGTACTATGGGGCAGATGGTGACTAAGGGGGAATAATACATGTCCTAGTCATTTGGATTGGTTTAAAACTTTATTAACTGGCACAGCTCTTTCACCTAAAACCCTATGCCTGACTTCTGCGTTACCTGGAGACACGACCTATACTACAAAAAAGGCGGTAGAATACCTGCGGCCTTTCCAGGTCCCCCATCATCAATAACCATGTTTCATAGTCATACAGTAGGTTTAAGCAAACTGCAGCGCAGTACAGTCGACCTTTAATAAGTAACTGAATATTACCACAGCGCCACACATGGCGTAAGTTAGCAAACGTCAAGCGAACCTTTGTATCTGTGCAGAGATTTCATTGGTCACTGACCCACCAGGGCTAATCTAACTTCCAAACTAGGTGAAGTGGTCAATGTGTACAACCACTTCACTCCCCATTATCAAACAATGCATTGGTGCATACCAGTCTAGGAGAAACGGTGCACATTTAGGTGGCGAAAAATTCATCTCAAACATTCAAATTGTCACTCAAGGTGTCAAGTGCACTCTGCATCTTGTCGGTGGCTTCGCTTAACAGGACTACTCTATCTCCGTATACTAAGTCTACTAAGGAGCCTCCTGCGACAAAGTCAATCCCTTTGAAGTCACTAGAAGGAGACCTCCATAAGCAAATCTATGACAATAATATAAGAATGAAGACAGTTGATATCCCTAACGGACATCAATTGACGTACACAACTTACATGATACATCATTGTATGCTTTAAACCATCTGCAATAGTAAGAATACAGTCTTAAACTATTTATGTATATATTCGAAATCCTTTTCAGTGAAAGGCACCTTTACAAGACCCCTCGATCGACGGAGTCAAACGACGTTTTCAGGTCAAGGAAGACAGTTACTTTCGGGCGTTAATAGGTTTGAGTTTGCTTAGAAACCTGCGAGAGAGTGAAGATTCGGTGGACTCACGTTCACATCAGAGACCAAACCGCTTTCCTCCGACTTTCTCTTTCCGAGCATCGCTTAGGCGCCTAATGAATATAGAACCTAGGGTCTTGGATACTACATTCGTCAGACTCATTCCACTCTGGTTATCAAGACAGGGTTTCCACCTTCTTTAGGGTGGGATAGTCGGTGACTGAGACCAATCAGAGATCATATTTGGTTTCCATATGCTGGCCAACACTTCAGTTAATCAGCAAAATAAGCTTAGATTATCGTCCTTCCGTACCTCTGGCACTAGCCCATCGGCGCCTGCTACCTTTTCGCGTTCCAACTTTCTTACTTCATTAAGAGGTCTATTTAGGACTTAATTTGATAGCAGGCAACTGAAGACTAGCTGCAGAGCAGTTTAACTATAACTCGAAATATTCTGCCAATCATTCCAGTCGTTTACTCTGCATGTAAATCGCATACCCATCCTTCTGCGTGATAGTCTTACTAACCATCAACTTTTTTGCCCATGTTCCCTTGATAAATCTAAATAACTGTTTACTGCCATCTAATCCTATCCCCTTATTCATCTCTTCAGCCTCGGCTGCCCACCATTGCTTGCGACCATTGCATAGACTTTTTGTCGATCTACATTGGCTTTGCCTGTCTCCTTTTTCGTACTCAAAGATTGCAGGAGAGGGTCAACGGGCAATTATTAGTTTAGAAGCCTGTGAGAACTAGTAAACTTTTACAATCGTTTTCCAAGAGTCAGTTACGGTCTTTACAACTGTTTTAGTGAAGCCTGTAGACGGCACCAAACTTCTTCACAATGAACGATGTTTTCCTGCCCTGACACGTGCCTAGTCAGTTCATCGTTGAAAACAGTTTTATTCTCATTCAGCCACGATCAGAATAATATTTAAGCTCTGGTTTTTCTGCATTCATTTAGGCGCCGATAAATGGCAAGTCCAACCAAAGCATATTTATATCACCTTTAACTAGTTTACGTCTAAATGAAGCTTTTAATTGCTAACCCGTTTTCTAGAACCAGTATTATAAGAATAGTAAAGATAGAACAAAAAGAACCTAGACACAAATCAATTACAGAAACCAGTAATTCTCAATAAGGACGGAATTAAATATTAGAGTCCATTGCAACTGTCAAAGAAGATGTATCTGATCTAACCACATCTGATTTCGTAATACATAACCTCATGTGAGATGTCGCATGCTAAGAAAATACTGAAAGCACTTATCATCTAGCATAATAACTCTCACAGTCGATACACGTTGAAAGGTCAGTATCACTTAGTGTTACTGTCTGGATCTCTCTCCCCACATGGTTAAACGTTTTAGAGATGAACGATTTACTGATCAACTAGACTACAAAAGTCGTGTATTTCAACGCGTAACTAATGTTCTCGTTTTTGAAAGTTTGTTTACCTCTTCTTTCTGTACTGTAGTGGAATATGGCAACTTGAACTACTAGTTTTCATTTAGATGTTTACCACTCTCTCCTATTGGCTAACAAATCCCAATTAGTTCGAAAAATTTCTTTAGCAACCTTGTGGCGTGATGTGATGTAAAATGAATAATTCAACAGCATAAATTTTCAAGTGCTAGACCTGAAAAACCACACTTTGTGTGCAAATGATAGTGGTGACACGGTGTCCATAACGAATTTTAAAGTGACCGTAGTTGTTAGCAACTTAGGTAACACAAACACAACGGTTTAACTAGTCATATATATATATATATATATATATATATATATATATATATATATATATTCACTTTCATGAAAATGTCCCACACTTTACCTCACGTAAGGCTTCTGCATAAGAACTCATGTCGGTAAGAATAACCAGTACATGTTTTTCGCATTGATAAGCCAAATATTCAGCTGTCGTAAGGGCGATGCGAGGCGTTATGATACGTTCTATGGTAGGGTCATTTGCTAAATTTAGAAATAGGCAAACATTTTCCATTGAACCATTTTCTTTAAAGTCTTGCATGAAAAACCTGGCAGTCTCCATGTTAACACCCATTGCCGCAAATACAATGGCGAAGTTGTCTGCATCACTGTCTATAACACTTTTTCCTGGCAGTTTGACTAAACCGGCTTGACGACAAATTTGGGCAGCGATTTCATCATGGGGCAAGCCAGAAGCAGAAAATATGGGGATTTTTTGACCTCGCGCAATTGAATTCATAACATCAATACTTGATATGCCTGTTTGAATCATTTCTTCAGGGTAAATGCGTGACCACGGGTTAATAGGTTGACCTTGTATATCTAAGTAGTCTTCTGCAAGGATAGCTGGACCTTTGTCTTTCGGTTTCCCAGAACCATTGAATACACGTCCTTAAAGTGCTTAATAAAATTCAGATGTATGAGACATACCCAGCATATCTTCCGATACAGGTGTTCGAAGGATATCCCCCGTAAATTCGCAAGTAGTGTTCTTTGCATCAATTCCACTGGTCCCTTCGAATACTTGGACGATAGCCCTTTTACCACTAACTTCTAAGACCTGTCCTGTTCGCTGACTACCATCAGCAAGAGTCAGCCTCACAATCTCATCGAATTTTGGGAACTTCACATCATCTAGTATAACCAGAGGCCCATTTACCCCGGAGACAGTTCTATAGGCTGTAAAGAGATTTAAAAGTTTACTTATTAGAAAACATACTACCAAACTTTTACTTCAGATTAAAAATATCAACACGCATCGTTGCAAATAGCTACTAGATGGACGCAATAAGCGTTCCCTTGCAACTTACTACTAAGCATTAGGAAATGTTGATTTTACTCAAAAAGGAAAAAAATTCAACTATATACCATTTGTAATGATGCACTAATACTAGACCAACTTTTGGTAATGAACTTATGGCTCATATGAAAGTGGACGAACTGCCAAGTCAGCACCAATTGAGCATAAATTACCTTATTAAGTTGATTAAGAAGTTTAACGAAATCTGTCTGGGCGAATAATAAAGTGCACTATAGGAAAAGCTTGGGGACGGAGTTAATGTAAGTTATCGTAGTACCTGCGAACCCTACAAAAATCTAGCTTTTACTGTCTTTTAGTGTCTCATTTTAGGAGGGAAGACATTTTTTAGTAGTATAAATCAGGCTTGCTGAATGATGCGTTGAATTTGACTACACGCGGATCTTCAACCCCAATAAAACGGCTTTAGGCATTAAAGGGGAACTGCCAACTTTGGTCAATAAGTAGAAGTTTTTTTGAAGACTGTAAACCTTATTATTTATTTGACCTGACGCTGCTTTGCCGCCCTACCCTTTGCTCTGCTGCTGAACATATACACTTGAATTGATGCATTTTGAGAGATTTGATGGTATCGATTAGCCACTTTCTAACAGGAACACCTCAGTATATAAACCCCAAGTAGCAAGTAACCGGTTCAAGACCAGGAAAAACTAGTAGCGTTGGGACAGACAGCTTCCAGCCCTCGATTAAGACTACTGCGCAGAGCCACATACGGCTACTAAGAACCAGGTAAATCATTCCGGCACATTATCCACCGGAAAAATAAGCCTGTAGTGATAACAGCTTCTAGGAGGTATGTGCAAAGCGCACTAAAATACCACAAGAATGTAGTTTTCCGTATCTTCATCACAGAAACCAAAAAGGAATTTTGATAAGTTTTTGAGATCAAATTTGAAATTCTCGGAACCAAGTGATATGCAATATGCATTCGGTCGTTGGCCAACTTTTCTTGATTATAGAAGAATCCTAGTAATATGCGACTCAGGTCATATAAAATACATGTGAGAAAAGGCAGGGAGTACACAAGCCACCAGGAATTCACTATTTAGTAACACATAAGCAATGCAGATGCATTAAAATGTGCTGGATATTATAATAAATGGGAAGACGTGAGCATTTCAATGCACCATACACGGCAAAACACAAAACTTGGAAGCATAAAAAACTTATTTCGAACTAACTTATGCGTGGCTGTGATATGTAATCTCTAGAAACAGCTTGTGAATGCACAAAATTGGCTACTTTCCGGTCCATCTCAAATCTCAGTACAAAAACGAAACACCTTCGCAATACGCGGTTGACGGAAACCTTGACGTGACTTTTGAATTCAGTAAGTTAAACCTAAAACTTCGAATTGTAGAGTTGATGAACGATGGTTATCGAAGTACAATCTGAGTTTGGGATGGGCTAAAGTGTCGCCCTGATTCCGAAAACCTTGAAAGAATAGAGATAATACATTAGTGATTAATTTGGTCTCAAGGTTGTATTACTCCTAATGTGTAGATGATGAAAGGCTTCGCAAATAGGGTTCATCAGTAACACAGGACTCTAAACGTGCATCCAAACTCCTTTTGGGATGAATGTGCATCAACTTTTTAGGGAAGGGAGTTCGGTAGTTCACAAACTCTAACTCCAAACAAGTTAGCATGCATCTTTGTTTATGCTCTCTAATGATCTACTTTTTGCGAGTGAATCCTAAGGTGGTATTTCCGATTAAGGCTTGAGATGAATCCATTATAATGAATGCGACTATGGGCAATGCAGTACATCATGATCATATCCCCTCTGATCCTCTGGTATTGTACTGGTTTCAGCTTAAGGGCAACTGAGCTATCCAGGTATGGTTTCGACCGCAACACAATCACTTACTTGGGTGGCTATGTCCTGCTTCAAGTGTGGGTACATCAGGAGCGGAATTTTTTGAAGATCAGGTCAAATTCAGAGTCCATAAGCTGTGATAAAAACACCGGGAGTCACAGTTCGTAAAGTTTGAGGAAGAAACCCCTAGATTCCATGAGCCTTGCTGACAGAAAGGATCCAGTAGAACAAAGCTCCTAGTGTGTCATCTAAAGTAACTCCCAGATCTCGTTCTATATTTCCAAGAGACATTTATGTCACTCGGAGAGTAAGAACTGTAACCACTGTTACATTTGTCAATAATCATCATCCTACACCTCTTAGAGTTGAGTGGAAGCTGGTTTTCTCTGATCCAATTTAGAACTTTTGTAAAGCCTTCTTGGAGGACCAAAGTATCTATCGGCACCTGTGTCACCTCAAGATCTCCAGATCACTGGCATATAATAATGAGTGGGAAGTGAAGGATCCTGGTAAGTCATTACTGAAAGCAAGAAACAATGGTGGACGCAGAACAGAACCCCGAGGCACACTTGTCAGCCCTGGGGACCAGTCAGATAAAGATAAGCTGACTCTGTGAGCACCCATAAGCTGAGGTTTCTTGCACAAAGAATCCTGATTTACGCTGTCAACGGCCTTATAAGGTCAGGTAGACCAATATACGTAGACTGCTTCTCGAAAGAAACGGTCTAGCTCTTCCAGGCTGTCGATAGGTAAGTGTTACATGACCTTCCAGGTAGAAAAACGATGTCGACAGTCCTTTAAGATTGAATAACCAGGTGAGTAATCGCTAAACGAGTTGTTCATTACTCCTTCAGTGGCCTTCGCAACCGCCCATAGTTGCGGACAAATAGTGTTTTCAACTTTATATACTGAGACGGCTGCCACCCGTTTCCAACCTGCTCTCCAGAATCAAGAATCTGGGGAGGTTTGCACCCAGAACATGTGCACACTCTTCACTCACCCTCGGGTGAGTCACACCAGTTCCTGAAGACTCACTCAGATTCAGGTTCCTCAGAAGTTTCTTGGTGATCGAAAGTTCAAACCGTACATTGCCTTACCCCTTTGTGATACGAGTGTCTGACAGATACGTGGTCGTCCCTACCAGTTGACAAAGGTTATGCTGGAATTCATGGGCTAGTAAGTTTGCTGCCTTAGGGTTAGTATGGAGAACCTCTAAACAGCTGGGGTTCCGCATAATAAGTGAACCATTATTCTTCAGTTCCATCAGGGAGCACAGTATCTCTTGACTCCCCTCGAGTGTTCTTTACAGTTACATCTGGTAGTTTACTCCGCCGTTCCCGATTTTTATCGTACACCAGTGAGGAATGTCTCTATCATTTAGCTATTCTACAGAGCTATTAGTGACCTTCCAGTGATTCCAAGATGACGGTTTACGCAGTATAAGCTTACGCATGCTTCACCTAAGCCTGGAGGAGTACAACTTTCCGGTTCTTCGTAGTGTTACCATTTATGGCTTGAGGGATTGTGTCCTTCAACAGGTCCCATCTGGTATGAGCATCCAGTGGATCACCTCAACTGAGGCAAGCGGAACCTTCTAAATCTAGACCCAATGTTTCAAAACATTGTACCAAACAACCTCCCTAAACACCGATGGATAAATATCTGTGATGGATACACCCCGCTTTTAGTGAATTTGGTTGGTAAAGCAAAGACGTCTGATGGTGCTTTTTATATATTCATGCCTGAAACATTTGAACACGCAAGAAAATACTAATTTCTCCTTGTTTTAGGCCTGGACTGTTGATCAACGTCCTTTTTGTAATTATTCTCACCTTCGTGTCATAAATTTTGGTGGGCTAACCGTAATTTATTTCGGACATTCTTTTGGATTTTCCTTGCCGCTCATATAGCATCCGACATCAATGGTGATAATTTGGGAGACCGGAGGCTTTTGAACCCTTAGCTCCGATTTTTTGGGCTTGGTTTCTATTGTTAGATCTTGCTGCTGCAGTGGGCCAGGCAACCTCTTCCTATCCGCCGCTTATAGCCATAATGAGGCGAGTGGTTTTGTAGGTTGGTATCTGCTACTTGTGGGTTCGGTTGTTGAGGAAACTGCAGACTGCTGGAATGGTTAGAGGCCCTCTGGGACAGCTGCTTGTGTATGCGACTCACTGGGGATACGGAAAGGCGGGGAAGGGCATGAGGAATGTTCTTAAAGGGTAAAAGGAGGATAGTATGCGCCTGGTTACTAAAGGAGAACCAGGTAACGGCTTGAGTGTATCAGAACAAAAGGATGATAAGTAACAGGTAGGAAAAGAACAGGGGGGAGATAACGAGATTGGAGTTTCTCTGAGCCCATCACTGTCAAGCCATGGAAAGCAACAAAATTGTATAGGCGAGTCGACCGAAGCGGCTATGACGACATCCCCCGGTAGAGCACTCTATAAGGCAAACAGTCTCATTAAGGATTAGTGTCTGAGCTGAGCTAAGTGGTAGTTCTCTGATATGCTATTCTGGTTCCCTCGCGGAGACCACCACACCACAAGTAAAATCACTTTATTTGCGTGACTCAACTGTTGGAAAGTCATGTAGGTCACGCCCTTCCAGGAATAGTCCAAAGTAAATAGGCTTAGGTGGCTCGGTCTGCACGACTGTCATTTCCTCCTTAGTTCGACCACCGGCTTGGCGACAGATTTGTGGATATCCCCCGGGAGATTGGAGCCGCTCTTCAGTTACGACGGTGCAACTGAGCTGAATACTTTCAAATGCGTCAGCACACCGGATTTGAAAAAAACATTAGAAATGGTCCAGGAGTGACAGCACCGAGCTGTCTTCACACAGACCGCTAGGAGGCCCCCACTTCCTTGTGATTAGATATGATGTTAAGGGTGTTGGGGAAGTTGAGGTTCGGCTATTTTCTAGCGGACACCGATGTTGACGCGGTTGCTCAACCCGTGTTCGAATTCGGCTGTCCATACCTCGCAGTCCCTGCAATGCGTTAACTTTCGATCTTTCATGTTATTGCTAAAGCTGTTTTCTGATGACCAGAGTTCCAGCTGCTGTGGGTCGCATAAGAGCACCTCACACTCAGACTATTCGTTTACCGCCTTCAAAATGCTTACGCCACCAGCAAAAAGAAGGATGGGCGAGGGAAGCTCCCGATCGAAATGGTTGATGAGCAACAGGAAAAAAGTGGCGCCAGGTTTGATTGCTCCTTGAGGTACCACCGATGCGGATGACCTCTACTTCTACCATAATCCCAGTTTTCCGCGGAACTACCTGCCTTTAACATATGCCCTGAACCAGAAACAGGAGGTTCACTTATGCTTGCCATCGCAGTCTCGAGGTATTTTGCTTCGCGAGGAATACCATCAAACGCCCTTACTAAGTTGTTTGGGCCAGAGAACCAGCCGTTCTAAGTAGTCAGCAGGTTGGTGGCATGTGAGCAGTCACTCCAGTAGTTACGCTGACCTATATAAGCGGCATTTTCTGCTGCGTCATCTCCCCATTAATTACTTGTTGACTGTTGACAACTCAGCGATTTTCCATTTTCTTCGCGTAATTATGCGACCCGCCATCGCCTCAGCAACCCTTTCTTTCACACTGCTGTCTTGCCCTTTTCATAGCTCCGGAATTTTTTGTCTCACCAGGCATAAAGCGCCGGTGATTTTGACCGAGATTTGTGACTATTAATCCTATGTTGTCCAGATATGTCAGGGGAACTAAATGTGTGACATGGTACTTTTCCGCTGACAAATCCCCAGGCTTCATCTACTCTTAAGGCTTTTGATGCTTTGGGCACCATGTAGGGTAAGACAATCGATCTGTAGTTACTAGGGCTTTACCTGTTTCATCCCTTAAGAATGGGTGACGAGGTGGCAAGCTCCTACTCTTTGACGAGCCCACTCGGCCCTGGCGAGTGCTTGGGGAAGTCAGAATTGGTTTTGTAAATGTCCAACAGCAGTTCTTTCGGACGCTCTTTTCGTGCAACGGGGTGTAACGAGGGAAGTCATCTCCGTCAGTTTCACCGGTGTTTTTCCGAGCCTGTGCAGATTTGGTTTAAGAAGTACTAAGCTGAAACGCAAGGGCCGATCTCTGAATCTCAATTGTCCTCAAACTGCTCAGCACGCATCCATTATGGTCTGGCATGTGAATAACTTCTCTGCTAGCCGACATCCCTTTCAACATGGGGCGGGACGGGGGTTTGGCTGCTTTATGAACTTCTGACTAATTTTGGTTGGTAGCTAGGCCCGTCACTTTAGACTCTTGTGTCGGAGATTGAGAGGTTTGACCTGATGATTGATGGGTGCCATTTGAACGACGTCTGCATTTTAGTCTGGGGCAGCCTACTTTGAATTCCTTCTTAGCCATGAAGTCCTCCCCTCGGGTGGAGTGTTATTTCTGACATGCTGTGGCAGACGACTTCGGAGATCATTGCCTTAACCTTCTTCCGATGCTGGTTCACCATGAGACGGTTCCAGACCTCAGCCTAAAAGTGGTTCATCACTTTAGC